CAGCCTCTGCAGCACAAGTTCGATCCCTGGCCTGCCAGGGAGCAACCCATATGGCACAGCAGACCTCTACTGTCGACTCCACTGCTCCCCTCAGCATGTTCTGCCTGTTCTGTTCCCCACTCTGTCTCTGGTGAGTCCTCTCACACCCCTCATCTCTGGCCTGTACCCCTGAGCTCTTGTATGCAAAAATAAATCAATCTTTAAAAAAAAAAAAAGTAATGTCTACATACCAGAACATAGAATTTCAATTCTATTACACCAAGCCAAGGGAAAAGGTGGTGTTCTGCATATCCCATTGTCTCTTATCATTATTGATACAACTGTTATAAAGATTGTAACAGTATAGGACTTGATTTTGGCTCCAAGAATGACTCCTTCCTAAATTTCTGTAGTTACTGTATTAAAAATATATCACTATTGTTGAAACATTGTGATTTTTGCTTGAAAGCTTATTTCTGAGATGTAAGTTAATCTAAATTTGAACATTGCTGTGAGAAAAATATTTGTTTTATTCAACTTGTACTTGTGATTATAGAACAATGTGGATCTACTAAGTTATCACACTTTATGAGGGCTTTCATTATCTCTTCCTCAAGGGTTTGTTAAAAAAAGAAGAAAGAAATACAAATTAAAAATTACATTATCTCTTCCTAATTTTAAATATAATTTGACATAAAAGATTTAGAAAAAGAAAATAAACAACAATAAAAACTAAAGAGACATTACTTTGGATTTTTTTAGAGACAGAAGTTTAGGGGACAATAGTCATGTTAAAATAATGTATATTTTTGCCAACGCACATATGTATGAATTATTAACCATAGGTAATTGTTCCTTTTCCCTCCAGATCTTTCCCTGAGGTCTGGTCATATGTAGCCAAATTCTGAGACTAGTGTGAAAGTGCCAAATCATTAGAGTATGTCCCTAATTAAAGTGGCTACTGTACCCAAATGTCTAGTGTTTTGTCTATGTTTCAAGGCCCAAATTTTTTACCATTGTTTTCTAATAGGTCAGTTCTGTTATTTACTATTATTATTATGCTCGGGAGGCAACTTAACATTTGCGTTGTTAACAGCGCGCTTTCAAAGCCACATTCCAGCAGACACTTTAGTTGGATTTTAATAGCCCCAAATAGTCCTCTGATTTTGGGAAGGACCCAAATGGGCACATTTCCACACATGAGATCAAAGGAAAGAAGCAATTAGCTCTTTACCTTACAGGTATCAAACATCTTCCACTTGCATAACATTTCCAAACCTCAAAAATGTAGCTAACTCCTTCCCCTCTACTTTAGAGCCTGTAAGAGTAGGTGAAATAAAGCAGCATTTTGAAACTCAAAGATAGCAGTTTAACAACACTGCCAGATACCAAACTTGACAAATAAGTTCAAAGAAATAATAACTGTTTGAACAGATTATCATGCCCACCATAAATTAGCACTAAGTCTCCTTAATGTACTGAGCAGCTATTCATTACATGGAAACGACATGGTGCCTGACCTTGGGGAACTAGTCTCAGACAATGTCTTTGAAGTCACTTCACTCTTGTTCTTACTTCAAGTATCTTAGACATGTGTCTTTATATAGTCCCCTTGAGGGTAGGGACCATATCTGAATTACTCCATGTGTTTCCTAACGCAGAGAACTCTGAAGACTGGAAGATGGATATTATATAGAAGGAGGAAATTGTCACGTTCAAATTTTATAAAATATGATATTTTGTTTCTCCTTTTCTATCATAAAAAAATTACATGAATTCTTGCTACCTGAAAATGCTTAAATAAGTGTGTATAATCAAAACAGAGAATGCCTGTCTTTATACTACATACAACCCCCAATTCTCACTCTCTTAAGAAGGAACTCTATTAGCTGTTTGACACACAATGCACATGCATTTTAAATACATGCTCTTGATTTTAATCCTATGCATTTAAAACTGCTAAGTCATTAACATGTTTGGTCAATGGATCTCTACAACTTGGGCTTTATTTAGAACTACCATATTTCTCCATAAACATTTTTAGGGAACAGTAGCAATTTATAAAATGCATTTTAATCTGTACTATGAACATTCCTATCCTTTGTCTGTTTTGAATTCTCTTTATACTTGGTTTATCCAACTTACAAATTTAATCTATGCTAGGTTGATGGCAGACTCAGTTCACATTGGTGACTGAATGTCTGGTATTGACAGTCCTCCCTCATTAACTGCTTTTATTTTTATCTTGACTGTTTTCCTACATTTATTCTTTGAGATGTATTTTAGAGTTTATTTCATAAACTATATGTGCTAGTGGTACAGCACTTAAACTGGTAGATTATTTTTTAATGACCCTTGGATTCAAACTTACAACAACATTTTAGGATGATTTTTTACATGTGTATTTTGACAGGTCAAAATTGAAACAAATTCCTACTCTGTAGGTGGGTTAGTGTTCAGGATTTAGTAACATGGTGATATGTGTTAATAAAGGAATTGAGAAACTTATCACCTTTATTTATTTCCTGCAAAATAGTTTTCAAGGAAAACCAACTGAAGTAAGTGTTGTTGGGCCAATCCCTAGCAGGGGCCTGTAGATATATTTACCATCATGATGGCTCACCGGGCCACTGGCACTGTAGTGCGCATTAGACGGCCCTCAGTAGCCAGGGGAAATTATTATCTCACCTTCCTTCCTTGCAGATCACCTACCGATTTAAAAATAGAAATATATTGTCAACCCTTGTGATCTGGCAAAGTACTGATGCTACTCCAAAGGGTGGCTATATACTTCAGCAAATACACATTTTTTATATGTGCCTTTTATGAGTCATTCAAAATCACTGTCTGCATCTACACTAGCATTATCCAATATTTAGAATGCAGCATTAACCCTGAAATCACACAAAACATTAAAACAATTTTTTAAAGAACTATAACCTATTGCATTTGGGATGGACCTTTGTCTAGTTTACACGTAGATAGTACGCAGATCGTCAGACAATTGCAAAAGCTGGAACTTAAGATACAATTATATAAACAAAATTAACCTTGTTTTGGCTTAACCTTATTTTGGCTTCAGAACACTGGAATAATATTTTTTCAGAGTTGGATGCAATATTTATGCTTAAGTGTTTTCTTAAATAAACTTCCTTTGAACGCTCACTAATCTTGTGATAGGTGAGTACAAACCTCCTCCAAAATGGAAACAAATCCTTCAGGGAAATGTGGGCGCAGCTCCCTAGCCTGTCATATTTAAAGTTACAGCATAATCAAACAACAGAGAAGTAGCTGCTTGAAACAGAAACTTACAGCCTTGGGACCTGGAATATTAATCTGGTTGACAGCAAACTGAGCTCTAACTGTCCATCCATAGGGTTTCTGGAACCATACCCACTGTTTTTGCTGGGTGCCTTAAGAATCACTTCATCTGAGACCTGAACGGGAAAAAACAAACCTCTCCTAGCTACAGGAAAATACTTTTTGTGGGTTAGCAGGGTATAATTGGTTTTTTTAAAATGCTATCAGTTTTTCCTTCAAAATGGGAATAGCTTCAACAATCTTATGATTACAAAGTAATGTGCATTCATTATATTAACATTAAAAAGTCAAGACCAGAAATTACAAAGAAAGTATTTTAAATCACCTACAATTCCTCCACCAAAAGATCATTTTGATGTAGAACTTTGCAGAATTTCTATTCAAATAAATCTAAAACGGTTTATGCAGCATGGCTGAAAAAACTTAATTACAAAATATGTGATTTAAAATTATTTCATTTTTAAAAAATGACATGGCATTATCATCTATGGAATAATATATGTGTGTATATGTATATACATGTATGTGCATGTATATGTATACATATATATTCCTAAATCATTTTAAAATACTCAAAAGAATAAAAAAAAATCCACGGGATCTTGGGCTGCCTTCATAAGTCATCAATAATAAATAGTTTAAATGTTTCCATATTGACTGATAATGTCTTACAATGCAATAATATACTAGAATTAATGATTGGCTACTCCATTGTAGTTACACCCAAATAGCTTTGCCAGTGTTTTGTCTCCTCCCTACTTTCCAGCCATACCCCTAGTCTCTATCCCTACTTTATTCCCTCTGATCCTCCGTGCTATAGCGTATTATATTAACACAATGATTAAAACTGACAACTGACAACTATAGGAGTTTACCAGGGAAATGCTTTAGAAAGTGTACAAACAGAGATGAAAGGAACTACACAAAATAGAAACAGTAAATACGGCCTCCTTGTCTGTATGTGTGTATATTCACAAAATATCTGAATGAAAACACAAAGACACTGGTAATGGTTTGCCTCTGGAGAGGAAACTGAGTGACTGGAATGCGGGACAGAGATGGAAAGAAAACTTTTTATAATATACCCTTTTGTACTTTATAAATATTATACTTTATATTTATGCCTAGTCAAGTGAATTTAAGATCAAAATTGATCTACTTATACACAAAACTATATAACGGTATTAGCTTAATAGAGCATAAACTTTTCCTCAGATTCCAGGATTTACTAAGTGCCCAGAGAGATGAACTACTAACTATAACAGTGTCAGCTTATGGGTAACAGTGGAAAATGATTTTTCCTTTTCTCTGAAAATGGTTGCCGTTCTATAAATGGCGCCATGTTTAGAGTGTCATGTTTGAATCAGTGATTCAGCAAAGGCACATCCATGACTCTCAATATACGTTAGCATTTGGTCAACACACACACACACACACACAGAGTAAGAATAGTAACTATTCCTTAGCTGCTTTGGTGAGAGTGCTCTAAGGTAAAAACAAGTGGCAGAAATTCTAATTTCAACCTTGTTCCTTTTGGAAAGATCAGTCATTCTGGTTCTAGGTACTGTATATCCTATGTGTGCCATTGGGGTAATATTTGTGAGACAGAGATGCTGTTCAAGTGTATGAGCTAGCTATACTGCTGGATGCAAGCCTTGAATATCTTTAATTTTGTCTTTTTGTTTGCTCTTCGTTGGCAGGTAGTGAAATCAAAGTTCGCCAAAGAATCTCCTTATATTAAAATGAAACTATCAAGAAATCATATTGTTGGAAAATATTTCAGCAATCAAAGCAAACGACAACAAGACTCCCTAACAAATTTTCAATCACCATACAATGTCAGAGGGCCAATCAATCAGGTTTACTCTGAAATTCTCCTCAGCAGGATGTGTGTGAGTAGAAGATCTGTGTAGACTCCTTGCAAGAGGACTGAATGTGGATTGAAGTCAAGCTGCTTACCCTGGCACTGGTCTAGGAATCGAATTCTGTGTGTCTTGTGTCTTTGGATCAACCACACAGACTCATGCACACAGCACACGCGTATGCACCAACAGACACACACACAGCTTAAAAAATAGTCATCATAACACCATTTCCCTCCAGCTTTCTAAGATGAAGATGTGCTCCTGAAAATCAGTTGGTTTCAAGGTGAAAGAGCCAGAAAAACATTACTTGAAGTATAAACATGAACTACAATAGAACCACTGTGGGCCAGGTATTGCGTTGTGATGATAAAGAGAAATATAGACATCTGAATTTTGTGGAAAAAAGAAAATGCTCCTGAGTGTCATGTTCTTTTCTCCACCAGTGCATGATTGCTGAGCAGGAGAAAGCAGCTACATTCCGCTCACCAGTAGGGCTGTTTGCATCCTTTACCGGGCAAGAGTAGGGTTTGGGATAATGTAGGATTTGTGCACCTAATGTTTATTACAAACAATTTTCCTATATTTTGTAATATGATAATTGAAAGGAAAAGAGCAGGAATGCACCATAAGGGAATTCGAAGAGATTCTGTGGGAGAGATAGATGTGTGCTATTTTACAGTTAAAATGCCAAGCCATTTAATTTTGCACTCTTTGTACTTTTCATAAACATTCCCTCCTATCCTCTCTGTGATGTTGGATGGGTAGATGCAGTCCAGACTGATTAAATACATAATTATTAACTGAGGAATAAAATATTATTCCTCATGTAATATTTTATTGTGTTTCATTGATGGTATAACTTCAGAAGGCCTTGTGTTTACCTTTAAGCCCTAGGTATTTTAAGATTACAATTACATTTTAAGTGGATATTTTTCAAAGGATTAGGCAACCTCAAGTGCATAGGAGTTTTTTCCATTAAAAAATGTATATATATCCCTAAATACTTTTTTACTAGTAACTATATTATAATTTTTCTGAACAACTATATCTAATACAAATTTAGAGTAGGCATAAAATTATCTTTTATTAAAACTGGTATACACATAAAGCATATCAAATTCCAGTATTGAGAACTTTCTCTCCTCTATTTTAAGATCAAAATAGTAAATTTCCTTATTTGGAAAGGCTTTGTTGTGACATATCTCCCAGTTCCAATGGTTTTAAAGGATTATTTTTTCTTTTGGGGGAAAAAAGATTAATTCAATACATGGCTGAAATTACCAAATGTAAAAATACCTCAATCTCGTTACCATGCAAAAAATGAAAACTATTTTGACTGATCAGTTCCTTAGTATAAATACCCGCCTCCTTAAATATTCTATTTTTATATATATTTTTATATAAAAATAAACATGAATTTATATTTAACTGTCTTAAATTATATTTAAACACAAATATCAGTAGTTGTAAACAATACAGGTCTGCATCTGACAGATGGTAATTTCGTAAGTGAACGGTACAGAATTCACTTTTAACATGAACGATTTTTCTACTAACTGCAGCTATAGGCAAGTGTCAATTTTAGAGTTTCAGTGATTTTGTCAATGATAGAAAATGTCAATTCATGCAGTCTCTCTTTGGTGTTTTGATGGATTACATGCTCTCTGACAGGATGAAGGTCAATGTGTGTTTCTTGTCATTTACTGTCAACCTAACAGTAATAACGATATGACTGAGTGTAGTGTGGCATTTTTCTCTTCACTGGTGAAATAATAATGGATTTTAGAAATAACTGTAAAAATACTCTTAATAAATGTCATACTAGCAATGGTCTGTGTTCAGAGAATTTCTTTTCTTTTCCTTTTTACTGAAGGTATATAACCTTACATGCTGTGACCACTGGAGGGGATATTACCATACAGGTTTCGGAGTGTGGCTTAATGAGATAACTAATCATACAGTTCCTTCCAAACCTGATGTTCTCCAAATTTTGATCAAATAAACTATTTGCTGTACAATGGCCAAAGCTTTTAAACATAGTACAGTGACAAATTTTTTTTTTTTTTGTAAGAAGGCTCTGAAATGCTGGGAATAATTTAGGTAATTTCTCAATTGAAAAATGATATTTTACCCTGGGAAAATGTGTGTGTGTGTGTGTGTGTGTGTGTGTGTGTGTGTTTAAAGGTGCCACGTGCTATTTGTCAGTCATCCAAATAGGACCTCGTTGGGACATAAGAATAGACAGTCTTGTCACTGCCTGCTGGATGGCTTTATACTTGGGTCACTTAATCTTCCTCAATAGTTGTCTCTGTGCCCAGCAGTCATCTCTACAGAACAATGATTCCTGTTTAGAAATCAACATAAGAAATAACTGATTTTTGAGATGGAAATAGTTCTGGTAATGTTTATGCAGGAAATAATGCTGGCTTGCATCTGATATTTCTTTTTTAGTTCCATTTCATCAAAGGATTCCAAAAACAGCTATAGACACTGATAAAAAATTATGTAACCCAGTAAGAGATTTCAAAACTGTCTGGGAGGGACACAGTGGTGTCTAATAAAGTAATAAGGTTAAGAGTCTAGAAAGGTGATTGGATTTTGAATTGTATTAAATATTATCCTATAGGCTTCTTAATCTGAACAAATACTGAAAGAATCAGCAGCAACTAAAACTTTTTTTGAATTTTTCTTATAAAAAGAACCAAATCAAAAAAATTCATCCAAATCAGTGACTTAGGATTAATGTATTTTAAATGAACAAGTATAATCGAATAAGCTTGCATGGACAGATGGCTTCAAAAGTATGGATCCAAATGCAAAATGATCCTACAGCAGAGTCTACCATTTTGACGGGATTAGGAAGAAATCATTCTGCAAACACTACTGTAGTTTCTTTTTAATGTAGATTTAAAGTTCAGATGACTTTGATTGCTCTTGGAAACTAAGGCATTTTGACAGATAACTTTGACCTCGGGGGTGAGCCAGAAGTTGTCAGAAATACCAAAGACACATTAAAGTTAGCAGGATCCACCAGTGGCTACAATCTCGATTTTGTACTTGGCATGGCTTCAAGGTTTCACACTGTCAAAGAACCTCTTATCGTTCTTTTATTGCTGCAGTATTTCTTTCATGAATCTTTCATTTGGTGTAGAATTCATTTTTTTCTTACTGATATAGATGGTCCTCCTAAAATGGCACCCAATTTGTTTTCTTTATGTTCCCTGAAATATAAAGAACTGGTGTAGCTACTCCAGTCATTGTCAGATCACAACGCATTATCACACTCCCCACACAATCAACATACTAATCTTTAAACATATCAAGAATATTTACAATCTGGGGCCTCCCTGGTGGCACAAGGGAGGCAACCTAGGAAGACGCAACCAAGGAAGCTATCCACAGCCACTGCAACACGAGCTAGATGCCCAACCAGGGAGCTACCCACATGGCACAGCAGACCTCTCCTGAGTAGCCCACTGCTCCCCTCAGCAGTGTATTTCAGTCCATCTGCCTGTTCTGTTCCCCACTCTGTCTCTGGTGAAGCCTCTCACCCCCCCACACCTCTGGTCTGTACCCCAGTTCTTATATGCATAAAAAAAACTTAAAAAAAATTTACAATTTGTAAGTCTACCTGCAATGTAACTGAAGATAATTATTTAAGCCCAAATAATAATGAGAATAAAATTAAAACTGACACTTTCAGATAAAACCCTCTGGAAGAACTCCTACAGGATTGTCATATTCAGGTAGATTCAGTTCTGAATTTGATTTAATCTTACTGGCATTTTCACCCAAGTCCAAAGTACTGTCTGCAAAGAACTGTTTTCATTTGTTTTTTTAGTCTTTATTCCAACCCTTTGTATATTCTATCTAGGGGGAATAATTGCATTTTAGATTATGAAGGGACATTTTATATAGCTAAACTAAGATATTTCCTTAGACATTTATGTGCAGTGTCATATTATTTTTATTATATTAAAATTATTTTTAGTGGAATTTATCAAAACACTTAGCTATAATTAAAAAGCAAAGTAAATGTAATTGATAGTTGATAGATCAGAATTCAGAACTAACATGGTCTTATAAAATGTATTCCATTTTTTCTCAACTATACAGTAACTTTCTTATTTTATGATTAGATGGTAAAATATATCAATTTGATGCAACTTTTAGTGCTAGGCTAAATGATTTAATGCTGATGGCATGTGGTTTATTTATATATTTTCTTAAATTACATTTCCATTTATTTTATTTTATTTTTATTTGTTTATTTATACAAGAACTGGGGTATAGGTCAGAGGCGTGGGAGGGTGAGAGAATTCACCAGAGACAGAGAGAGGAGCAGAACAGGCAGGTTGACCAAAGACACTGCTGAGGGGAGCAGTAGGCGAGGCAGGAGAGGTCTGCCCAGCCATGTGGTTTTCTCCTTGGCCAGCCAGGAATCGAACCCAAGCTGCAGATTGCTGCAGACAGCTTCATAACACTGCACTCAACATGCTGTGCCAGCAGGGAGGCCCTATTTCCATTATTTAAATAATAAAATCAGTGTAAAATCTGTAGATTGAAATCTCAATGTGTAGTACCAAAATCACCATTTTCATTTTCTTTGCATTCTATAATATAATTTTTTGATCTACAATTTGTATGCTTTTAAAATGAAATCGTGAATTTGAATATTCGGGGAAAATTCAAGAAAGTTAAAATAAGTATACATAAAATGTTCATATATTACCAGTCAGATATCCACCAACCTCTACTTAGCTACTAATTTCCAGGCCTCACTGGTGGCGAATTCAATTGAGGGCAGCGCTGTGAAGCTGTCTGCAGCCTCTGCAGTGCCGGTTCGATCCCTGCTAGCCATGGAGGAACCCACATGGCGTGGCAGACCTCTCCTGTCTCGCCCAATGCTCCCCTCAGCAGTGTATTTCAGTCAGTCTGCCTGTTCCATTCCCTGCTCTGTCTCTGGTGAATCCTCTCACCCTCCTGCGCATCTGAACTGTATCCCGGTTCTTGTATAAATAAAATAAATCTTAAAAAATGAATTTTAAAAATTAAAAAAGATATCTACTAATTTCCATTTAGATGTAAGATGCGGTTTGGTCTTTAGTTGATTTTCTTATATAAATAAGCTAAAGACCTGGGATTCAGAATTCTTGATGTCCCTTTGCAGAAAGTACATGGAAGTGAGAAGATGGTACAAAATGCTGATTGAAGCAAATGTGACAAGTCAATTCATCAGCCATCACAATCAGGACAGTGAGGGGAGGTGGGGTAAGGGAAGGGAAACATAGCATGGCAGAAGCCTTTACTCCCGGAGCAAATCTCCTCTCCTATTGGGTTCTGAGGTGCATAAAATTATGAAAAGCTGTGTGGAATTTCCTCAAACTGCTAAAAAATGGAGCTTCCATTTGATCCAGCAATTCCACTCCTAGGTATCTATCCAAAGAACACAAAACCATTAATTCGAAAGGACACCTGCACCACTATGTTTATTGCAGCACTATTCACAACAGGTAAGCTATGGAAACAACCCAAATGCCCAAAAATAGATGACTGGATCAAGATATATTGTATATATATGTGCACACACACACACACACACACACAATGGAATATTACAAAGCAATCAAAAAAGATCAACTCATGCCATTTGCAGCAAAATGGATGGAGCTGGAAGAGATCATGCTCAGTGAAATAAGCAAGAAAGAAAACGAAAAATTCTGGATGGTTTCACTTATAGGATCACTTAAGGGATTCACTTAAGGGATCAGGGGAAATAAATTTAAGAAAGTAAAAATCAAAATCAACAAACAACTACAAACCAGAGACATTCTGCAGGATGGGAGAAGGGAGTAGGATCAAAACAAGGCTGGGAAGAGCAAAGGGAACTCTGGTGATGGTGCACAGGTGAATTGGTGATGGGAATTTCTCAGGGAATATAACTGAGATGAGAAAGCATACATTGTAAAAAAAGAATGAAGAATGGGGGCTTCTCTGGGGGTGCAAGAGGTTAAGACCCAACCTGTGGGGCTGTCTGCAGCCTGTGGAGCTTGAGTTTGATCCCCAGCCAGCCAGGGAGCTACCCACATGGTGTGGCAGACCTCTCCTGACTCGTCCACTGCTCCCCTTAGCAGTGTATTTCAGTAAACCCTCCTGTTCTGCTCCCCAGTTTGTCTCTGGTGAATCCTCTCACCCCTCACACCTCTAGACTGTACCCCAGTTCTTGTATGCGTGAATAAATAAATCTTTAAAAAAATAAAGAACGATGTGGAAAAATACATGAAATAAACAAATAAACAAAAAATTATGAACACTGTCTCCAGCTGCCTTTCACAGATCTGGGACACCTTTTCAAACCTCTTCTTAACTCATAAGTCACTTTGGAGGATCTCATTCTTAAGAAGAAAGAAGCACTTTCAAATTTTATTGAACCAAAAATTAGAAGCTCAATTCATTTGATAGCAGTTGAATGTGATTTTAATGATACTGTCTTATAGGCGAGGGTCCCACATGGCGCTGCAGTCCTCTCCTATTGTGCCCACTGCTCCCCTCAGCAGTGTATTTCATCGGTCTGCCTGTTCTGGCAGGCAGGATTCTGGTGAATCCTCTAACCCTCCCGTGTGTCTGGCCTGTACACGGTTCTTGCATAAAAAAAATAAATGTTTTTTAAAAAAGATACCATCTTATAGACAATCAGGAAAAATAGAAAATGTCCTCTGAGTATTAATTTGGTCTGTCTTCTTGAAAATTTGAAATAGCAATCCATTTCCACTTAATTCATTTTCCCCCTCGGGAATCATTCATCTACTGTGATATTTCC